AGGAATCTTGACCTTCAGACTGATCTGACTAACGGAATCAGAAAAGCAATTAAAAATTTTGGGCTATTAGAGAAACATGCAAGAAATAGCAGCAAGCTATCAGCCAAGGTAAAGATACACATCTACAGGACTTGCACTATTATCCCTACTTTATGGTTCAGAACCATGGACTACATATGCTAGGCACTTCAAGAGACTTAACATTTCCATATCAGATGGATGTGCAAGACCCTGAAAATATAGTGGAAGGAAAATATAAAAACAGAAGTATTGGAGCATGCAGGACTGACACTTAGAAACCACCATCATTAAGAAAATTTTGCAATAGCTCCACCATGTCAGGAGAATGGGAGAAGATGGTATCCCCAAGAATATTCTGTATAGAGATTCAAGACTGCTCTAGAAAGCAGGGTTGCCCTTTATGTCAGTACCACAATACATGCAAAAAAAGTTATATGAAGTCCTTCAACATCAACATAGAAAGCTGGGCAGAGCTTGCAAAACGTCATCTGATCTGGAGGGAACATCTGGCACTGAGTGCAGGTCAACATGAATCAGCTTTGATTGCAATGATGGAAAAAGTGAGAAAGCAGAGCAGCATGCTGTAAGCTTGGACTCCAACTCAAACAACATATGGACCTTGGGCTCATCAGCCATAAATGGATTCATCAGGCATCTGACTAGACCTCCTACATCTACATTATGATCAAGAGGATTGGGAATTGTCCACTACTCTGTTAGAGAAGGTCTTCAGACAAAAAGTTACCAAATCATCATTTGAGTGCTACCTGAGGAACAGTCACTTAAGCAGAGATTTGTTCACTTCACATTACAGGCTCATAGGGTTAGAAGGGTCCTCAGATCTGGTCCAGCCTGCAAGTCACAGCCTTAGAGAACCACTAAAAACCAAGAGACGCAGCAGTCGAAGTACTAAGGGAAGTTTCTACTGTATCCATTGACATATGAACTCTCTGTATTGTGTCCCAATTTGAGTCAGTCAGTAAGTTGGCCACTGATGTAGACTAGAGCTTGGCGATCTAGTTCTCTCAATGGATCTTAACCAGTAAAAAGATTGAAAGCTAGACAGTAGTTCTTCGGGGCTGGGTGTTAGTTTACTTGTTCCTAAAGCAACTGTTCATATTTTTCTAAAGAGTTTAGTTATTCTGAGAAAAGGGATTTATCAATTTCCCCAAGATGGTCATAATTGTTCTTTATTGCCTAATTTTTCTAATCATGTTGGACTTGAATTCATTCCATGGGTCAGCTTATTTTTTAGAGCCTCTTGTACTTTCGCCTTATTAGAGGCCAAAATTTAGTTACAGGTTAAAAAATAAAAATGAGAGAGACACTACGATTACTAGACAGAATTTGTTCTACTGATAGCTTTTCAGTAACCAATTTTGAAGTCCAACAAATGCGCTAGTTACCCGATTCACTATACAAGAGGTTTTACAGGCAGCTTTTCTATTATGCAGATTGCTTTGCTTTACCCATTTACTTCAATGGTTTGGTCCCACGAGTGTAGTTTGTCCTGCTAGCAAAGGGATGCACCACTGTTATAAAAAGCTTCCTGCCTGTGCTCCTGCCATAGTTTCACAGTGAGCCATGTTGACATTCTTAGTCAATGATGGGAACATACCTTGGGAACAAGGCATTAATAGTAGTGCATCACCAGCAACTGTGATTACTCTCACAACTTTTGGAGGTAGGAAAAAAGTATAATATATGCCAAGGTGAGTTGGGATAGCATCTCCAACACAGTCCCACACCAACAATCAATTCATAGAATCAAAACACAAAACTGAACAAGTTAAGTTTTCCTGAAAGAAAGAATGCCATGTTTTCCATGTAGGCCATGGCATCTTGAGGGGATTCTAGTACCAAAGTGGTCAGTAGCTAGTCTTCTCCAGAAACCCCCATCAGCTTCCATCTAGAATTCTGACCACTTCTAGAACTGCTCAGTTCCTCATCCTTTACTCAAAAAGGAAAAAGCCTTTCTTCTAACATTCTCTTGCATAGAAAAAGGCTTCAAACTGCATGGAAGTAGACCATTTTCAACTCTTCTCTGGTACACTTGTCAGTTTTTGCTTAAAATAAATTTACTGAGGAGACTGGACATACTGGGAAGACTGACATAAGCTTCAGCCATGTTTCAAAATTAAGAGCAAGAACAATGGTGGGGTAGTGCATTAAGTATGGACTTCAGCCTCTCAATAAGAGCATGATCTCCCCTTAAACAGGAATGTTGTACTGTTAATTATTAATAATTTTGGATCAGAGTGGAAAAAAGTACTTAAAATTCTCTGTTTAAGAAGTCAAAACCTTCTATTTGACAGAAGGTTCTCTCTACATTTAGTGCTCAGGAGCAGGAGGACCACCTCTAAAATGTGGCAGTACATTAAAAGCTGACTGACTACTGCAAACTAGAGGACAGTATAGGGAATGTGCTGTATCCTCATTTGCCTTTATGTAGGCCTTCTTTTTTCTTTTAAAGGAAAGATCTCTTTGCCCTTTACTCCTTGCTATTCTAAGTCCGGACACTGCTATGGAGAAACTAGTATGTATGGGGGGGAGAAAAAAAAAAAAAAAAAAAAAAAAAAAAAAAAAAAAAAACACACACAACCCAAACCAAATACCTGAGAATGGCCACAGTAGTTGGAGTAACAGCCATAAACGTGAAAACAACAGTGAAGAAGAAAAAGCCCAAAAATACAGGCAGAAGCATGCATTGTGCTCGACATTTCCCAGGAATAGCCTCATAGGCAACATTAACTTCAGGTAAGCGTGGTGACTTCCCAACACAGCTACAGTTGTGGTAAGTCTGCAAATAGAGGAATACAGTAGTAGTCATTCCAATCACACAAAGCTGAACTATAATAAATAGATAATAGCCCTCAGCTAGGTCTTTAAATGAAATGGAAAGCATGACATACCATATTTAGCCAAATACAAGACAAGATCCTGTCCCCGACAAGCAGCATGGGAAAGAGCCCTACATATTTAATGAGGCTTCCTTGTATACAAATACAAGACACGGCCTATAGTTACTGTGAAAGGCAGCATGTGCTCAGTCATGAAAACTGACTCTGAAGATGGTTTGAAAAATGCAGCCAACATTAAGGACCATAGGGGTCATATCAGGCAATGGGAGCTTAATCACAAGGATAGGCTAGTGCAAACTATTGGAATAAGTTATGATACAGTGCTCAATGCCAACTCTTTTTAATGTTGGGGTGAGCCATATAGCATATTTCAGCTTCACTTCCAGTTGAGCTGCGCTCCTCTCCTCCACTTCCAATGATTTCCATTTCTTCACCAGCCTTAAAGTGTCTGGCAAACATCACCAAATACGCATTAACAAACAGAAAAAACAACAAGTTTTCCATGTATAGAATCTAAATTATTGGGGGTCATCTTATATTCAGGGCCATCTTGTATGTGTAAATATGATACACATGGCACAGGATTTCCTCACTGCAGGGACAGCACAATTTAGTAAATTTATTGTATTTTGTGGTATTTTTCCAGTGTTAGCTTAGATATTTCAGCTAATGAATAACTCCATGCAGCAGCAGCCGCCTTCCCTTGCAGTACAGTTCATGTTATGGAAGATCTCTCCTGCAAGCATTCTTACTGTAAAAAATTCAAGTACTGTATACTCCCTGCCCCAATCTGAGAACAGGACAAAGACTGCATGCATTCCAGAGTTAAGGAGTACTGCAAGAATTTACTAGAAAATTGGTCTCCAAAGCACATGGTCTCTATTGGCATAGGCCCAGCCACTCCAATTGGACAGCTCTCTGGTAGCACAAGTCTCCTCTAAAACATCTTTTTTATTGGACCTATCTCACCTTCATTAAAGTTACCCTTGGACTTGGGGCTTTTCTAGCACCTTGTTATATCTATATGCATGCTTATTACCAGTTCTACAACACTATCTACAAAAAACAGGAACTTTATGATGTATGCAGCAATGCCTTAAGTCCTTTCCTCTGCTCAGTTTAAGTCCCAAAGTAATGATGCCAATGCACTGGCATTCTACATTACTCTAGCACCCTATACAGCAAGGCAATGCCTTTCAGAAAGTTTTGTCCTAGCACTCCTCCAAACTATGAGAACTGGGGATTTAAGTGCTTATCAAAACTTCCTACATCTACTTTAGGCTCACATGTTTGCTCAGGATTTGTTTCTAGTGGGAGGTAAATAGTTCTTTAAAAAAAAAAAAAAAAAAAAAAAAAAAGTGTAGAAGTCCCACAATATAATCCCTACAGTAATAAAGCCGCCATGAACTCATATGCAGTTATTCACCTTTTATAAAATAAGAAAAAGTTGTTACTTAAACTGCTTGATTTTTATTTATATTCCTCCTGGAATTACTGCAAGGTTGAAGTGACCAGAGAACCAAAATTTACAGCAAGTTACTGAAGACGGGGATTAAAGACATCATCACATCATTTTGCATGTGCAAGACATCTAGGGAGTGGGGGCCACAGTTTGTTGTACGCCACTTAAATTTGTTTTGCTTCAGTGAGAGATACCATTAACAACTTGAACACTGCTTACAGAATTATGAAGAGGAGGCAAGGGGAGGCAGGGGAAGAGGAAAAAGGGGGAGACTGCAGCTATCCTCAGTTCAAGGATAAAAGCATAAAATACCCTTTTCCTTTTTTCAGAAGTAGAAGAGGTGCATCCTGCAAAACAGGGAGAAAAATACTGGATTTCATCTCTGCCACAAACTGGGTAATAAAAGGAGCGTAGACAATTGCAGTCAGTATTGCATGGTGCTGTCAAGTTCCACAGTGTTCCTGTTCTGCAACAGGAAAGTGAAAAACTACATTGCAGATTCCACAAATTCACATTAGTAATAGTATATACAACATTTTTAAACAAGCCAGAAATGCAGTATTCATACTCATTAAGCTACAGTTGTACAGAAGTATACATTGCCATAGCAAACTTCAAGCAATATATAATCTTGAAGCACTGGTCTGAACAATTTTTTTTTTTTTTTTTTTTTATAATTTAAAAAAAAACAAAAAAAACAAACACAACTGAAAGATTCTGCTCCTTAGGCTCCACGTCATGTTCTCTGTACATTTAAAGCACTTTCTTTCTAGTTATTTCTGATGGGGAAACTAAACAGATAGAAGATCCATTATGCTTCCTCTCCCTCCCCCCAAATCATAACACACACTTCCCCCCCCACCCTCCTCAAGAGTGCCCTTTAATGAGAAGATTGCCATTTTCCAATTGCGAGACAGCAGGAAGAGGTATAGTAGTACCCAGCTATATGTATTAATGGCACAACATTTAGAGGAATCACCTCAGTGTGCAAGTCCTGAAAAGTGACTTTCTGCTCTGGGACAGAGCCTTCCTAGGGATAACACAAGTTGTAGAATTCCATTAACTAGGTACTAAACTTCTTAGTCAAGGACTAGAACTCGGTTTCAAGTATTTGTGTTTTACTCAAGTATACTATATAGTTATATTAAAAAATGCACTTCTATATTAAACTGTACAGTTCAAGCAAGCTACACTATAATGAAACTAAATATCTAAAGTGCATTATTGCTGCACTTGCATACAATGTACTCTGGAATAATGCACACCTTTTCTCTGTTAGGCCTTTCAAAAATGAAATTTTTCCAGGGTTATAAAACTACAAACAAAACAGGTACAATACAGTTATAAAGCAATGCAACCCCCCCTTTCCTGAAGCAAGGTTTCCAGGATAGTCCAGGTTCATATGCCCTCAATTTTCCACAAGATTACCTTTTACTTTTAGCCTGAAGACTGACAAGTCTCTGCCTGAAAGTAGGTAGAAATGCTCATTGTTACAAATGAGCATTTCCATGTTAGACTTAACTTCAGATTAACTGTACTAGTTTCTTAGCAACAGAAACTTTTCAACTCTTGGGCAGTGGAAAAGTAAAGAAAACCATGCATGTTCAAACATGGTGCTTGGCATTTGGAATCTACTGTAGATTGATGTAGTAATAGTTCAGGGAAAGCAGCTGTTTTTCCTGACCTTCTGATGCCTACTTGAAAACCTGACCACCACTAATGCTGTTTATAACAACTGAGGCAATCCTTCCTTGTTAAGTTGCTAGGCA